TATAAACTACTATAAAAATTGATGAAACGTAATTATTCAAACAAATATTTTGTGCCGTATAAATTATTATTAGTTAAATGCAATCATATAATAAGGTAATTATTATTATTAGATATCAGTATAAATTATCAATAATTTAAGTGGTGCCTTGATTAGGAGTGTATATATGGTGCATTATATCATTTGAAGTAGAAGTAACAATTTGAATAATTCTACTATGAATACAGCAAAGATTGCTATTGAATTTTTAGCTTTTCTATGCAAAATTTTATATTACATAAAACCTACAAATTATTTCCATTAATTTCTCTCTCGAAACAAATGTTTCGAATAAATTCCAAATTTAGAGATATGTGTTACAGTTATACCACGCATTTTTCTAAATCGTTTAATGTTCCAAAATTTGTTAAGTCAAAATGTTACGTTAATTAAATAAGAGTGTTTTTGAAAAGTCTATAAATTTTTAGTTAAATAACAACTAATAAATTAAAATGACTTTGAAAAAATCAACAGATGAATTGTAAAAAGGACAATTATCCTTTTCAAAACGTTTGTTTCAAATATTACCTATTTCACAACTATGAAAATTACTATCACAAAGTTCATTGAAATGAATTATAGTTTATTTGGTTTAGATAGTATAATTACTAAAAGTCAAATTGGACTTTTGTGCCCCACCACCCTACCCTATATTAACTTGAAAAAGAAGTTGTAAATACATTACTATTAAAATACTATGTGACATTGAATAATTTGAGATAGTTATTCTCATAGTTGTGAAATAGTTAATATTTGAAACAACGTTTTGAAAAGGATAGTTGCAATAATAAGTTGTAAATATATACGCTCTTTTTACAATTCATCTATTGATTTTTAGAGCTATTTTAATTCATTAGTTGTTATTTAACTAAAACTTATAGACTTTTTAAAAACACTCTTATTTAATTAATATCTGTAAGCAGTTTTACTTTAAGATGTAACATTTCGACCTAACAAATTCTTAATTCTATGAAAAATTGTATCAAAATCCATTAAATCCTAAAAACTTATAATAAACAATACATCTTATAATAACGCATACTTATAGTTTATATTCAGGTAATATCAAAAACTAAATAAAAGAGCTCAAGTCAAAAACCAAAAAATAACCAACGAAAAAATATTTTTGATATGAATATTGATACATGGCCGTCCATCTCTTGATAGCGACGTCGTATGAATTATTATATTGATGGCTGATTATACAATTTTTGACTTCTTTAAAATAGTATCATTGAAAAATTCTATGCATCTTTTTGAGATGATGTTCTTGCACCTTTTTATCCGCGGATCTTTGAGCCCCGCTTTACCCTAATACATTATCTTCTTATAATGGCATACCCAAAAAATGTCCTTTTAAAGGCACCAGGACTTCTTTTATACCTCTATCTACTTAAATTGTAACCCAACGTAATATTTTTTCTATCTATTTACATAAAAATATTTAGTAATTTGTTGAGAATTGTTGTATAAAATATCCTAACAATTCGCACAAATGATCCGTCTAAAACACGGAACAAATGTTAAAAGAATGTGTTCATATTATATAAAAAATCTATAACTCATAATATTAAATAACGTACAATCACAGTATTTAATTTAAGTATTAATGTTAATAATCTAAATAGTTCTAATAACATTTTGAATACAATTATCATTAGTATTAAGACCAAATGATGTAAAATTGCAATTAAAAGTATAAGTGATATATTGTTTATGTGTTTCATAAAAAATATAATAATGATGATACATTAACTAGTATTGTTTAATTAACCAAAAGTACATTAAAAAAATAGAAACAATTATTAATCAATAATATTTCAAATCAAATTTGAAATTATATTAGTTGGTAACTAATCAATTGTTTTCTAAAATAAAAATAATATATTATAGTACTAATTGTAAGATTCTTGTAACATTGATATTTTAAATAATTTTTGAATGCTTCTATTACTACTTCAGTATACTTTGGTTGAAAATTAGGCGCATTTTTTAATTATATCTTAATTTAGAAAGAGATAAAAATTAGAAATAATTCGAATTACATAGTTGAGTTGAATAGATTAGTACATTTTATAATTAATTTGTTAATATTAAGCAATATTACTAATATTTAAACATGTATGTGCTTAAGTTAAGTAGCTGTTAGGTCATAAGTTTATGAGCCTTGATGTATACATTCCGTCCATTAATTTTAAGAATATTTATTGTTATATACTAACATGAATTGTAGTATATACTATTTCTAAGAACTTAATTATAAAATTTATTTAGAAGTAAGTTTCTTTAATTATGATGAACCAAACCTAAGCTATTATTAAAAAACAGTTTTAGGTGAAGATATTTAGAATATAGTTGAATTGAAAATTTAGTAAATTCTTATTGACTCTGCCTTATTTATTTTAAAAAAAAATTATATTTTTTTTAAATTTGATATATTTAGAAAATTCTAACTAAAATTAAACGGTATTTTACAGTATTAGATCTTGTTTTCGATTTTTAATGAAAAATTACATTTGATATTCAGTAATAAGTTTTTTTGGAAGATCAGACAAGAAGTATATGAAGAGTTGACTCAATAAATAATTAAGATCTGAATTATTATATAACTGTGTACATAAACATTTATTATTTTAGTTTATGAAAGTATCTAAGAAATTTCAAATATATAGATAATGAAATAGTATTTATATAAATAGATTAAGTTAGTATAAGTTTATACTACAAATTAAAAATAGCAACTAAATAATATAAATCACAACCAAACTAGTGGTCTAAAATGCTGCCTTTTGTAAGATAATACGAAAATCTAAGCCTTACTGTACTAGTGATATCTATTTTAAAATTTATGAAAAGTTGTTTTAATAAAAATTAATTTTTATTACTTATCAATATAAATAAAATATATTTGCAATACATGTATAGTTAATGTAAAATGTATAAATAAAATAAAATATAAAATCCTAATATAGTAACCAATTATATATGAAAATCATTATTTGTGATTAAAGCCCATTTCAATTTTTAGTCTGAGTTTAATAAGTAAGAGATAAATTTCCATTTGATGAAATGAAACGGTCGAACAATATTAACATACTTATAATTGTCAGTTTAAATTATCAAACAAAATTATTAATAAATTCACATGCCTATTAATTTTTTAGTAGTTTTAGAAATAGATTTTATTGAAATGGGTAAAATGATGCATTTGTGCAATCAATCTTTTTACAATATTAATGTTATAAATTGATTCTTATTAACTTCTCATAGAGCAAGTTATAGTAATCGCAAAAAAAAAATCGAAAAAGAAAATATTTGCATATCTTTACTTTCGAATGGCTTTGTTCAGAATTTTGTTGGCATACCTTAAAAAAATTGATGTATGTGTGTGTGTGTGTGTGTGTGTGTGTTCGAATACCAATTTTCGTCGACAATTTCGGGAACACGGATCAACCGATTTGGATCATTCAAAAAATATTCGATTCTTATTAGTTTTTTGAAAAGTCGTTTCAGTTTTTGGGAGTACGGAGAGTCCGATTAGCTGATTAAATTTTTGGAAAGGCAGGTCTAACGGCGTCGGAGATCCAATAAAAAAAAGTAACAAACAATGCTATTTGGTGGTCAAAAATGATCAATAAACATATGCACATCAAATTTTCAAATATTTTATAGAGATTTTAATAAGAGTTAGTAATAGTAAGAAGTTCCGTACCAATATTTATTCGTTAGACTGCGACGCGGCGCTTACGCGCTTTTGTCTTGCATTTTTGTGTTATTTACATATACTACTTAAGTAATTTGTTAGCCAAATTCTCCAGGTTAAAATTATTGTTTAAAATTCTAATCCACTTAGGTAGCACTCCATGAAAGTAAGTAGGCATGTGGTATGCAAGAAAAGTATGTTTTGTTATAAATATTTTTAAGCTACTTTCATTAACTTAGATACATTTTCATTTCACTTTATTATCATAATTAACTTCCCTTAGGGTAAGTTAAAGTAATCGCAACAAAATCGAAAATGAAAATTTTTATATATCTTTACGTTTCAAAGGTTTCTGAACATTTTGGCATACCTTAGAAAAAATAGATGTACGTGTATGTGTGTGTATGTGTGCATGTGTAATTTTCGAACACCGATCAACCGATTAGAATAATTCAATTCGTATTGATAAGGTGACGTGCTAATTAGTTTTTGACGAAGACAGGTCTAGCCGTTCCAAAAATACGGGGCAAAAAGTGCCAAAAACGGTAATGCAGTTTTTAAGAGAACAGAGCGTCCGATTTTAATAGTTCAAAACACATTTTACTTGCATTTACAAGATATAAATCTGATTAAATTTTTGGGACGGCAGGTCCAGCGGTTATGGACTTTCATTAAAAAATATGGTTGAAAAAATGTCATTTAGCGGTTAAAAGTGTTTATTGGACATATGTACATCAAATTATCAGATATTTTATAGAGATTTTAATAATGTGTACATATTTTGTGTATTTTTTTTGGGTTCGTACAAAAATTTTTAGTTACGGTACGGGAAGTTCCAGCAATTTGCCCTAAGGCTCGAAGGAATCCCTCTAGTTAAATATACGTTCTACCACATCACAAATTTAAATAAAACCTTCAATTATACTTAGAATCTATAATGTTGCACGTGGCAGCCCATTTGAATGATTTGAAATTCGCGGCAAAACACATACCTAGCGTAGAGAAGATAATAATAAAAAGCAACAATTTAATAGCATTTGTTTATGTTATATGATTTAAATATTTGCTACAGTTTATAAAAAAGTTTGTAAAATGGTTTTTATATAATCATAAAATATTCTAAACGTGTCTATGCTTTTATGATCTAATTAAGCTTTTGACAGTTTTGACATAGAGAAAAGCCCTCTTATTGAAAGGTGTGTCATATATTTACATAAAATCTGACGTGCGTGAGTAATGCACATAATATTTTGAATATTGTGTTTACAACATAGCAAATTATATCTACAGCGTTATTTAACAAACGATGATTATAGATATATAAAATTAAATTACGAATAATTTTTAGACGCAGATATATTAATTAAAATGGGTATTTTAGCCACGAATAATGAATATCCCAAAGCTTCTAGTAAGTATAGAATTGTTTACATTCTTATTTTTAAAAAACAAACAGTTTATTTATTTACAAGTATAGAGTTTTAATCATGTTTTATTTGCTTATTCATATTTTTGCTTATTTAAACACTTCTTATAATGTATTGATTAGTTTTAATTAAATTGTATCATATGGGTTATATGAGTCTCTATATGCAAAAGTCTTTTAAGAGCTTAGGCTTATGTTCATTATTTATGAATGTAACAAAAGTTTTTTCATAATATTCAATAACATTTCATAGTAATATAAAAGAATTAATAAAATATGAGTAATTCTTTTGAATAGTAATAGGTTAATTATTATGTTTATCAAAAGTGGGTCACAAATAAATAAATATATTTATGTTTATATAATTATATTTAAATATAATATTTAAATAAATAAATATATTTATGTTTATATAATTATATTTAAATATATAGATATATTTATATATATATATATATATATATATATATATAGATATATTTATATATATATATATATATATATATATATATATATACATTAAATATATATTCTCATTCTACTCTATCTCTAGACTCGGTTGTTATCGGAGGAATACTAACATATGTAGCTGGTATGTTCCTCCTTATGGCCTTTGCAAGCCCTTATTGGATTGAGTCATACGAGGAAACATTCAGCAGTTTCAAACGCATGGGCCTTTGGGAATATTGTTTCAATGAATTTCGTTATCCATATTATCAATTTGACAAAACTTTTGATGGATGCCACTATATTTTCAGCGAGGTAATCACAAAAATAATGCAATAATACAAAAATTTAAATTTATTTACTAAATTATTCATTCTTTTTAGCAATTCTATGTTATTAGAGAATGGTTATTACCAGGATGGTTGATGTCAGTTCAAGCTTTTGTAACACTGTCTTTTATGTTGAGTTTTGGTTGCCAAATATTAATCGCATTACAGTTGATCAGATGGCCCTTAGATACAGTCTTACGTTATGAATGGATCATGTCAGGTTTATCATTTCTTGGAACTGCAACCGCATGTAAGTGAATTTATATTTAAGGTTTTTTATCTATTCAATAAAATAGATAAATTTAATAATACAGTTTTGTAATGTCAAAGACCATTTCACACCTCAGTGCCTGAAATGGTCTATTTTCAATTGGAAAGATATTTTTGATCTGCATTTTTAAGTGAAAATTGATATCAATAATATATAGCACATATATTAAATTGGAAATATGAATAAACTGCACTCTTTTCCACAATTAATTAAATAATCTTTATGTTACAAACATTTTGAGACTAGGTTTGTCTCATCATCAGTGTAATTTATAAATGATATTAAGTTCATTTATGTCTACATTTTAATACATATATAAACAGTAGAATCTCGTTTATTCAACCCTTAGTTATATGGATATGCAATTATCCATATAATTCATATGTATTTACATACCTACAAGTTGACTGGGAAATCTTGCTTAACTCAAATGACAATTATCAAATATTTTACACCAAATTGAACTCATTACCTACTTATTTCATGATTGCCAAATGCTATTTATCATATACATATTGTAAACAAAATATTTGTTTTATTTTGTTTCATGATTATAATGTTCCAGTTTAGTATTATGTATATAATGTAATCTACAAAAATATGTATATACATACATAAGTGATGATTTCATATTTGATTTGTGGTTGGTTGTTATTTTTAATAAACACATAAAATTATTCTTCATACATTTTATTATCCAGATTTTCGATTATATGAAAGCCTATCAACACAATTAGTCCGGTTAATCGAGTTTCTACTGTATTATAAATTACATTGACAATGAGAAAAACCTAATCTGAAAACACTTGGAACTTTAAAATAATTTAATAAATAGTGCAAAAAGGAGTACTCTGTGTTCATATTTCCAATTTAATAATATTCTTTCCAATCATAATACTTTTGATTTATGTATATATGTGTATGTCTATGCATATGTGTGATTAAATCTTTACAATTATTATGATTAATCAATATTAAAAAAATACATAAAGTTTATAACATCACATTAGCTAATTTTTATATAAATAAACATAAATTTATCTATTTTAGCTTTTATGATGTTTCTGGCAGTTGCTATTTTTGGAGGCAATTGTTATCGAAGAGATTGGTTGATGTATCCCAGTTTCAATGTTCTTTCGTGGTCCTATGCTTTTGCTGTGATTTCATTTATGATTCATGCATTAGCAGCTTTATTTTTCTATGCTGAGGCTAAGAAGAGTTATGAAATGAGACGTGAAGCTAAAAATCTTGTTATGCAAATGCATGAACACAAACATGATCAGAGGGAATATTCTTAAATAATCTGTTAATAGCAAAAGGTATTGACAAGAGTAGTAATACGTTTAGTTTATGTATAGACTTGCTTATAATATTTTCACTTAATGGATTAATGTTTATACATGTAATCTTTGTTGATTATATGTGCAAGCTTAAAAAGTGGCCTGTAAAACTATATATTTTTTAAAGTGTATTTACATAAGAAGAAATAGGTTGATAATTGATTAATAATCCAATTATTTGACGTACTGTATTTTTCAGTCTAAGAGATAAAGGACATGCCTTAAATAATATTTATAATGAGCTTATCAAACTAATCTTACTCTGCCAATCAACGTCAAGCAAATAAAAAACATTCCATTCTTTTAACTCACTCAACATTTAACTAGCAATAATTTAGAATTTTGAATCTCAATTATTTGTTAATGATATTAGCATTATATTGAATTTTCATATGTATGGAAAACATGAATTAGAAAATTCATGCTAAGTGATCTTGAGGTTATAATCTCTTATTTTTTTATTATAAAAATTTGATTTCTATAACTAAGCTCTAAAATTGCCTTAAAATATTTAAAACCTTATTTCGGAAAGAATATATATTTTTCTAATGAAAAGGTTTTCACATATTTTTATAGATGATAGTAAACTTGATTTTAGCAAAATGTTATGGAATGTGTTCATTAAATTTAATGTTTAAAATTTATCATGAAATGATCTTAAAAGTGAATGATTTTACCATATCAATAGTATCATATAATTCTTGAAATTAAAATTATTATAATATTTTATTTATATTTATTTTTATGATTAATTCATATCATTTATAGATTGTTATTTATGTATTAAATTTAATAAAAGACTAAAAATCATTCTAATTTTGAGATTGATCCAAATTTGAAATGTGCAATAACTTACCATTCCAAGTTTATTAAATTTATAAATTACTTACAATTCCGTCCTTTTATTAAGTATTTTATTGAGACCTGGTTTCATACTTAAAATTGTACTCAATTTGATTTAGTTTAATAATTTTGTTGTATTATTTTAGTTATATAAATATTTTTAATCTATTAAATTTAATTGTAATAAATGTAATACGTTATAACCAAATAAACTTAATATAAATTGCTTTTTCCTCATTGTTAACTCATATTTAAGATTGAAGTTAATTTTTAGTAACTATTATAAAAACTTTTATTTTAATAATCATAACCAATAATGAAGGTAATTTATTATGTTTTTCCTTAATACCCTTTAAAAAAAAACGTTCTAAATACCATTCTAATATTTCATTATATAACCCACTCATTTATTTTCATTATTTATATATATTTAAAGTATAAATTTATAACTTCTTAGTACTTGAGTTTATATTAAATCTCATGATAAATTGTCTATTTGGGATAACTTTGTTTATATCGACCTTCTGCTTATTGCAACAATAACGATTTAAGTGAAACTGCAACTAGAAAACACCTTACTACATAAATCGATTAAATTTCAATTATTCCATATATTTTACTAATGCATAAAATGCGACAAGTCGTTTAACACGCTGAAGACCGCATGGAAAATCAGATTTACACGTGACGACCACACCAAAAATCTTCAATTTTGATTGCATACGTCTGGTTCCAGGAACCATCTCGCTGATAGAGCATATTTTTAACTACAAAGATGCGGGATCTCTACACGCGTAGAGTTCACTATAGTATAATTTTACCAGTTCATATATTTAATTATTATTCATTATATCAATAATTCAATTATTTTGTATATTTTATTATTCGATAACTGAGTATAAAATTCTATGTAAACTTCACTGCAAAGTCTGATGATTGGCAAATGGACTGTTGCATTCAATTGAAAATAATATAAAAAACATTACTGACATACCTGGTTTTCCAAATCTATGAGCTGTTTTGATCACATACTTCATTGTGCTTAAAGGAATGTTGCTGTCCAAGACGACTAATTGTGCGTTCTCAAAAACTTTTTCATGCCGCTTAATCTGTGTAGAAAGAAAACAAGTGTTATTTTTAATTGATTTAAAATTATTTAAATCATTCATATATTTAAATTAATTTAATTGAAAGGTCTATGTATTTAGTTTCAAAAATATTATTGTTATTTTTTAACTTCTCGTAGAATAAGCTATAGTAATGGACCGAAATCGAAATTGAAAATTTTTGAATTTCTTCACGTTTTGAAGGTTTCTGAATATTTTCGCATATCTCAAAACAATGGATGTGTATGTGTGTGTATGCGTATATATGTTTTGTGTTCGCATTTTTTCGTCCACGTTTTTGGGCGTACAGATCAACCGATTTGAATGGTTCAAGTAACATTCGATTTCTATTGATAGGGAGATATGCTGATTAGTTTTATCGCAGCTCTCTCAGCACTTCGGTAGCAAATGTGTCTAAACCTCAGTTGATAGCAACACTTTTACTATCTGGAGTACGGCTACGTAAATACGGCTATCAAATAATCTGGAGTCCGGCTACGAAATAATGCTATCAAAGATAGTAAAGTTAGGTGCTGGAAAGATATTCTGGATGCAGTCGAGGAAAAACCATGGGGAAGGCGTTATAAAATTGTATTGTCTCGTCTCAAAAGCCAACCAATGCATTCACCAACTTGCCCACTACTATTGAATAGAATAGTAACTACTTTGTTCCCACGGCAATTTACCAAAGAAGACATCAACAACTGAGTCTTAAAAAGTTGAGAATAGAAAAACTTCTGAACAGCATTGAACGATAGCAGCAACTGTGGGATGACACAGTGATAGGCAGATGAACGCATCGCCTTATTCAAAACCTCAAAGTCTGCCTTATTCCAAAACTCTAAATCGCAAGCATGAGAATGCAAATTATTACACTACACAAAAAAAAAACAAATGCTATCTGGGTACGGCTGTTTTCAATCCTACCTATACCGCTTCAAGCACGATAGCTCGCCGGATAGCCCATATTGTTTTAGCAAAATCGAAGATGCTAAGCACGTGTTCTTTGTGTGCCCGCGATTTAGTGCTTTACGGGACGATGTAGAAGAGATACTGGATCAAAGAATTACTCCAGATACTATTGTTGAAGTGCTTGGAACGCCACCACCTGCGATCTATGGAAAAAGAAAGAGCGAATGGGACTTCACTCATTTAAAAGATAAGAATAAAATCAGTGCAAGAATGATAATATTTCAGATACTCCCCCCACGAAGTAATGTTTAACGGCGGTTTCCGTGGGAATCAGAGGCAAGGGCAAAGCTGTGGTTTTAGTCGGTATTATACCAGAGCGGTATTGAGTCCGACATACCCAGACAAAAGACCAGTCTGGGATGCATAAATGTATTTCCTTCGCTATACGGAAAAAACATACACACGCACATTTACACACACACATATAGGTATACACATCCATTTTTTCTATTCAAAACTCCTTAATAACAGAGAACTATCGACGAAGGTTGAAAAGAAAAGAGCCACTGTATTTGAGTCATCAATTTTCCTGTTAAAGATTGACATAACTTAGTCATTATTCATAAGAAATTATTTATAAGTAAATAGTTAAGATCATATCATTATCAATAAAATATTGTTAACATTATAACGAATGGGAAAACAACTATTGAGTTGTTTTTCCAACATGCCCATTCAGTATATAATGTCCCTTTACGGCTGATAATTGTAAATTTCTCAAATTTATTAAATGTCCTTAACTAGACAGTTGTAGATAAAATAGAGAACTAGTTGGTATTGGTATTTTGCCTTGAGGCAAGTTACGTGAACTGCCCTATATAACTTCTATATAAATTTTAATTTTAACAAACGTCAAAAAAACTACTCGTTTTCTCAAACTTTGATGAATTTTTAAAATTAAACTACTTGTCGTAAGGCCATAATATTTCAGTAAGTTCTGTAATACCATGATATATATCGCCAAAAAAAGTTCCATAGAAATCAGCTTGATTTTTTTTCAACAGCTAATTACAAGAAAACGGCTCGGTAGATTTTCACCTAAAACTAATCAGTATCTTTCCCAACTAATATCTTTCGAACAGTTTTTGATTTTTTAGAATTGATTCGGTAGTATAAGCTTAAATGTGGACGAAAAGTTTAACACTTTTTTCCAAATGACAAAGAAACGGCTTGGCAGAACGTCGCACAAAGCTGACAAATTTTTGCAAACTTTGACGAATTTTTAAAGTTAAACGAGTTTTGGTAGGGCCGTAATATTTTAGTATGATCTAAAAGATTATTGTATCTACCGTCAAAAAAATAATAATAAAAATCCTCAAAATAAACTTTTTAACACTTTATTACAAGAAAACGGCCCGGCCGATCTCTACCAAAAACTAATCAGCACGATTCTTGACCAATATTTTTCGAACGGTTTTTGAATTTTTATAATCGATTCAGAAATGCGGGCCAATAATTTGGACGAAACTTTTTTCACTTTTCTGCGATTTACAAAGACTCGGCCCGGCCCATCGTAGCACAAACAAACGATAGCCCTCAACGAGATACATCGAATGGCTTTTAAATTTTTGAAATCGGTCTTTGAAAAAACGTCTATTTAAGGCAAAAAATCTGTTCACACACACACACACATACTTTTTCCAAATTCGGTCTCATACGATTCAGAATGGCTTGAATCGGATTTTTTTATGAAAATATAAATTTCTTCTTCGGGAAGTTAATAAAAAAAATTCAATGTTGATTTTTGGACTTGCCCCACGCGGAGGTAATCATACAAATTAATTAAAATTTGGAATAATAAGTTACAATTTCAGGACATACAAATACTCGTGTTTGTGCTATAACTAATATAATTACAGAAAATTTATATGTGTTTGGGAGATATCAATTGGAAATATGAATGTTCACAATTAATTGTAAGAGAAAACTTTATTTTCTAAATAAACAATTGATAATTTTACCTAAATATCTAAATCTTATTATCGGCAAAGTCAATTACTAACCATCTCAAGAAGTTCATGCAACTTGCCTAAAGGCAAAATACCACTTTCAACTAGTTAATTTACAAATTATACAGATCAAAATTATATTTGCACAAATTAAAAATCCGAAATTTCTCTATAATATAATAACACATATTGTTTTGAAATTTCAATGAATGTTAGTATTTATTACCATAATAGACGTTCATGTGAAAGCATTCGAAATATAAACTTGCAACATTCCATAATTAACGATTTTGCAGGTCTATGCGGATATCGAAAACTATGGACAGCTCTAGTAAATAGTAAACAGTGACTAGTGGTGGGGAAGAGATAAAGATCATCACAATATAGTACAATAGTTCTGCATTGAATTTTGACCATTGTTGTTAATATATTCAGTGGTGCCATTTATAAATATCTCGTATTCAAATTATATTTGAAAATAACGTAAATGATTTTTTTATTGTGAGCTTGATAACATACTTTATTAAAATTTTAATAGTATTTCAGTGTTTTTTATCTCGCTGTCTAGTGAGTTTCTCTTATCAGTACTTAAATTGTTATCAAAGTATATTTTGATTTGCAGCACTTAAATTTATTATCTGACATCTGTTAAAAGTCATTTAAAACTATTTATAATTAGATAATATAATGTTGAAACATATGCAAAATGAAATGTACTAATCATTACTTCAGAATATAAACGTAATTAAACTTTCTTATCACTAAAACAATATGCAATATGCTTTAATAAATATTTTTTATTTATAGTCGTAAATTAATTACAGTTACAAATTCTTATCTTAAGTTATTCACTTTAGGCAAAAACATGTGTACAGCAACTGCTTAATTTGTTAAATTTTGAATAAGTCAGAATTTGCATGAGAATATTTCTTAGAACCGGAACTTCATGTAAGTAAGCTATATCTCATTTGTCGATTAATAATACATATTAATTATTTAATATACGTTTACAGAACTCAAAATGGAACATTTACCAGAAATTGTTCAAAAAGCAATAAGAAATATACTAGATTCAAACTTTGGCATTCATGACTACACTATAAATATCATGCCAGCTTCAGAAACTGGTGACAATTTTATGGGTTCCCTTAAAAAAATCGTAGTGGATGGGAAAGTAAATAATGTTGATACGAATTTAAATTTAGTTTGCAAGCTAATGCCGAGTGATGCAAACTTTCGTAAAAATGTTAATGTATATGAACCCTTCAAGAGAGAAGTATTCATGTACAACGTTCTTGATGACTTCAAAGTATTTCAAACTGATAAAGGAATACAAAATAACCGATTTGAATCATATGCTCTACGATATGCTGCAAGTTCAAAGGAATTTCAAGAATATTTGATTCTTGAAGATTTATGTATTAATTCTTTCAGAATGTTCGACAAAAATTCGAAGTTGGACAATGTTCATATGCGTTTAGTACTAAAAGCATTAGCAGAATTTCATGCGTTGAGTTTTGCAATGCGAGATCAAAAGCCCGAAGAATTTAATAAATATACCCATATTAAAGAAATGTTCACTCAAACTCTTGGAGAAAAGAAGTATTACGATCTTTGCGATATAGGATTATCAAATGCTTTGAAAGTAATTGAAAATTATGATGATAATTTGGTACCAAAATTGAACAGATTGAGACAAAATTGTTATGAAATTATGAATGATTGTTTTTATGCCAAAAGCTCGCAAAAGTATAGAGTACTGACGCACGGCGATTGTTGGATTAATAATGTGATGTTCAAGTACAAGGTAAATAATATGCAAAATTACTTAGATGTATATATATATATATATATATATATATATAATATTTATTTATTAACTTCCCGAAGGAGAAGTTTGTTTTCATCCAAAAATCCGATTCACTAATTTTATGTTTTCTCGACGTTTCAAGCCATTCTGAGTCGAATGAGACCAAGTTTGGAAAAAGTATGTATGTGTGTGTGCGTGTGTGTGTGCGTGTGTGTGTGTGCGTGCGTGAATAGATTTTTTGCCGTAAATTGACGTTTTCTCAAAAACGGCTGGACCGATTTCAAAAATTTAAAAGCCATTGAGCCAGAATTATTGAGTGCTAGATTTCGATGTATCTCGATGAGGACTAGCGTTTCTCAGTTTTGTGCGGCGATCAGCCAAGCCGTTTCTTTAAAATTAGCAGAAAAGTGAAAAAAATTTTGTCCACGTTTTAGCCCGCAATTCTGAATCGATTTTGAAAGGTGCTGATTGGTTTTTGGTAGAGATCGGCCAAACCGTTTTCTTGTAATGAAGTGTTAAAAATTGTTTTTCTTTGATTTTTATTACTATTTTTTTTTGTCGGGAGATACCATAGTCTTCTAGATCATACTAAAATATTACGGCCCTACAACGCTATAACAAGTCGTTTAACTTTAAACTTTAGTCAAAATTTGCAAAAATTAGTATCACTTTTTTCGCGTTTGTCAAAATTAGACCTTTCATCGACGTTTGCTCAAAAACGCCTGAACCGATTTCAGAAGTTTAAAAGCCGTTTGTTATATCTCGATGACGATTATCGTTTCTCAGTTTTGAGCGACGATTGGCCGAGCCGTTTCTTTGTAATTTGGAAAAAAGTGTTAAACATTTCGTCTACATTTATCTGTAATTATATTAATTATAGTGCACAGACACGTTCTTTTTGTATGTTCTAAAATTGTAGCCTATTATCCTAAATTTTAAATAATCTATATATTTAATAAATTTATATAACTTTATGGCAATATTAAATTTCATGAAAAACGTTGAAACTTTTTTAAAAAAAACTTAATAAAATATTTTGTAAAAGATTGAGCAAAAACTATAAGAAAACACTGACATAATTACATATTTCATGTACACAGTTCTAGAAATAATTTAATGATTTAATGAATGGTAATATTTTTTACAAAACTAGAGAAGTTCTGTAGTTCGTTTATTTACTTTCTTGCTAATTCCAAAGCCATTTCTAATTTGATTGCTATCACATCACAAAAGCGACTTACAAACAAAATGCAAATTTTGACTATAACATTATTTCAAACTTTGATGAATTTTTAAAATTAAATTATTTGTCGTAGGGCCGTAATATTTTAGTATGTTCTTTAGGATCATGATATCGTCAAAAAAAGTTTCATAAAAATCGGCAAAAAATTTTTTTAACACTTAATTATAACGACTCGGTTGATCTTTACCTAAAACTAATCAGTATCAATCCCAACCACTATCTTTCGAACAGTTTTTAATTTTTTAAAACCAATTCAGGATTGTGAGCTAAAACGTGGAAAAGTTTTACAATTTTATGCAAATTACAAAGAAACGGCTCAACCGATAGTGGCACAAAACTAAGAAATGATAATCCCCATCGAGATACATCGAAATCTAGCACTCAATAATTCTATTCAATTGTTTGAATTAGAGATCAAGTTTGAGAAAACAAGAAAAAATTTATTTACATTTTATATAAGTAATGTATAAATTTTTATAGAACACAAAATATTTAGAAAGATTTACATTTCCAAACCCAAATTTTAAAAAAATTTACAATTTCCTCCTTCAATATTGCTTTGAAAATTTTGCTTTAGATTTTTCGAAGTGGTATAAGCGTGTGAGTTATGTAAATAGAATATATACACCGGACTAATGAATAAAAATAAATTTTAATATAATAGAAAATAACTTAAAAATATCTTGTGATAACCATGAACTATTAAACAACATCACATTTTAATGATGCGTAATGATGCATAAATAAAAGCAATACAATTGCATAATTACATGAAATAATTTAAAATGTTCGTTTCTATTTAGAATCTAAATTTTAATTACATAAAAATGTCTCAGGTATATATAAATGATACACTACCAAAAATTGGTTAATTATAATGATTAAATAAAAAAAATTAAGCTATGTAATATTACTCTTTTTTAAGATAAGAGATTGATAGAATATTACTTTTAATTTTGTTTTTAATTCAAATTATTATTATTACAGGATCAGATCCCAGTTGAAGTATGCATACTCGATTGGCAATTTTCTCGTTATTCTTCACCAGTAACAGATCTCTCGTTCTTCTTTTATACTAGTGCTGAACAAGAACTACTTTTTCAACATTTTGACAGTCTTATCGAAGAATATATAAAACATTTGCATAATACAATTAAATTACTAGGAAGTGATCCAAATGAGATTTATCCCCGGAAGCAATTTCAAAAAGATCTCGAAAGATATTTTAAATATGGTCTCATAAGTTGTTGCCATGTTTTTAAATTTGTTCTCTCTAAACCGGACGAAGCACCAGATATGCAAAAATTGGCCTTGTCGAATAGCAGAGAGTCATTAGAAGAGCAATTCCAATTTATTCATCCTAGTACTAAAAATGATTATGCTAGAAGAATCAGGAATATTGTGAAGCATGCATCTGATAGAAATTTTATATAAATATGTTTAGTTATTTTGTTAATAGAGAAGTTATGAATCAACATCAAGATATTATTTTATATTAATTTTCTTATTCAGTTCAATGTCAATGGAATTATGATCAATTATTTACATTAGACCAAAAACGAAGCCTAAACTTTTTTTTAAGATTTTTTTTGAAGGAATTGAAATTATTTCATGAATTTTAAAAAATAATTATTGTTTATATCATGAATATAATTGCAACTGTGTCAATTTCAATTCAATTGCATTTTTTTATGTTGTGGACAAAAATGGTATACTTATTAATAAAATTTATATATTAAATAATTTGCCATTCTTTCATTATATAGTCATTTTTGACCTTTAACTGACTTTTTTTTGCAATTAATAACCCTAATTAATTCAATCAAAGGGCAAAGACAATGTTTATTTTGAAAATTTTATAATAATTATATCCATAATATTTTGAAAATTTTATAATAATATCCGATAAGTTTGCAACATCAAATACTTGAAATTCAACAAATTTCACTAATTGCTAATGGTTTTAGGACAAAAATGATGTACGAGGAGGATCAAATGAGTACGGTTTGACGATTCTTGAGTGAAAAGTAAATTGTGAATGTAAATTTTATAACAATTATGAAATAGTTCTATATTGAACATGTCAATTGCCAACTACTCATTTTTTGCCTCCAAAGTGACGATTTTAATGGCTTTCCTCGATGACTCCGAAACAAGTTGACCAATCTCTCATAAAAAAGCAACCAAATCAGTTCTCTTTTCCTTAAAAGTAGATCTATATATATATATCTTACAAACACAGGCAAACAGTTTCATGTTTCCAATAAGGTATATTGATAAGGCATAATGATCCAAAGATATCAACGAAATGGTATCAAGAAATTATCGTCCTGGATTTTTATTAACATTTGCAAATTTATGAACCTGACACAATTTTTATATCACAATATTGATTTTATTCACATATATAGTTGCAGATTCTTTATTAACTTCCCGTAGGGTAAGTTATTGTAATCGTCGAAAAATCGAAATTGAAAATTTTTACATTTTTTCACGTTTTGAAGGTTTCTGAGCATTTTGGCATATCTAAGAAAAAATGGATGTGTGTGTGCGTGTATGTATGGATACAATTTTTGTTTTCGGGCGCACGGATCAACCGATTTGAATGTTTCAAAAAACATTCGATTTCTATTGGTAGGGAGATGTGCTGATTAAGTTTTGCAAAGGTAGGTTCAGCCGTTTCGGAGATACGAAGCAAAGGATGCAGAAAATAGAAAACGAGTTTTTGAGAGATCGGAGCATCGGATTTGAATGATCCAAAAAAACGTTCAATTTGTAATGATGGGCAGAAGTGGTGGTTAGTTTTTAGCAAAGGCGGTCCAGCAAAAAATGGCAGTTTTAGAGAGAACTAAGCGTCCGATTTGAATGATTTAAAGAACTTTCTGCTTGTTTTAATAAAATAATTGCTTTTTTCAAATAAAATGTTTTAAATTTAATTTTTTTTTTCAATTTTTTTTTGTAAACCGAAAATAATTCAGATCACAATTGTAATTCTGACTTAATTTCTGATATACTTCAAACAAATATTTTCAACTTTGCAATTCAGTTTATATAATTCTTATAAATTTAGACAATGTTGCAGTATTTATTTAATCTATTTGAAAACATTTAATATTCTAATAAAAACTAATCACCACTTCTCCCCATCATTGCAAATTGAATGTTTTTTAATCATTCCAAACTGATGCTCCGTGCTCTCAAAAACTCAATTCTCATCCGCAAAATGGCTGAACCTGTCTTTACCAAAAACTAATCAGCACGTCTGCCCATCAGTAAGAATCAGTAACAATATACTTTGAATTTTTAAATCGGGTGATCTGTGCGCCCATAATTGTTAAAAATTGTATTCATACATATATACACACACCCATCATTTTTTTCTAAGGAATGCCAAAATGTTCAGAAATCTCTGAAATATGAAGATATGCAAAAATTTTCAATTTAGATTTTCGGACAATCAACGTGACATTAAGCAAACAGAAAAATTGATAATAATATTGTCTTAGTAATACATTTATCTCTATATAATTTACAATATATGTGCTTGCAAATATGCACATAACTTAACAACTATTCCACTTTGATTTGATATCAGTAATAAACCAGTACTTGACAAACCAATTCATGGAACGACATATCTAAATTACATAACTTTTACAACACGTTGAGCAAAATGATTCAGCACAACGGAGGCTGATGAGAATTATTTAGTTGACTGACAATGATAGTAATTTATCAAGCGTTTAAATAAAAATATCCTTGAAAAGGAACATATAAGTACTATCATATTTGCATTTCAACAGTCAACTGTAAAAGTCAAACTGTAAGAGTTACTGTAAAAATAAACAGATAATCTCTTAAAATTAAAGTACAAAGTCTCAAAAAATTATACTACCACTATATAGAGAACTGTGAGAGTGAATAGATAATCTACCGAAAGTGAAGCAAAATGTATTAAAAGATTCATACTACTGCTATAATAGTGAATTGTAAGAGTGAATATATAACCTACTAAAAGTGAAGCAAAAAGTCTTAAAAATGTATATTGTAGATTAATAAATTACATTTAAAGTTTAATATATCCACAGTGATTAAATTAAATGGCGTTATATTTTTTTTTAAATGGTTAAAACCTAAAAGACGTCAAGACTGGTTTTGAAAGTTTTGTTGAACAAACAAAACTTTTATAATTGGTAGTTAATAAAGATTTAATCTAAGCATATTATAAAAAATTATACCATCATAATATTACAGAGTTTGTCTGTTTTACGTGTAATATATGATAACAAAACTCAAACAAATACGACATAAAAATTAACAGTTTTCCATATTTTTTTTAACATGGAAGAATTTTCTGAACATGTGCAGGTAGCTCTGAAGCAATTAATAGCTAAAAGTGGCATCAATAATTATGAAGTTAAATTATCACCAGCTTCTAAAAAAGGAGATAATTATTTAGGCACTTTATATAGAGTTGAAATTATTAGTACGGATAACGATAATGACACCAAGTTAAATTTAATTTGTAAAATTCCATCATCTGATTGGGGCTCCGAAGACAACTGGCAAAAAATTCATATACCATATGAAAGGGAAGTGTATGTTTATAACGTGATCTTAAAAAGTTTTGAAAAATTACAAAATGACAAAAACTTAAATGAAAATCAAAAGTTCGCTTCATATGCATTGTGTCATGTTGCCAGCGATGTAAATAAGAAAGAATTTTTGATTTTGGAAGATTTGCACGCCAGAAATTTTGTAATGTTTGACAAAAGAAAACAAATGGATTTTTCTCACATAACATTAGTTGCAAAAGGATTAGCTAAATATCACGCACTAAGTTTTGCCATGAGAGATCAACAGCCTGAAAAATTCCACAAAATGACTCAAATCGACTCAGCCATGTATGATATGACCGGTAGAGAAGCATTTTACGATTTATGTGATTTTGGACTGAAACAAGCCTTGAAAGCAATAGATGAAGGCGGTATCACAGAATTTTATGAAAATGTGAAGAAAATCAAAGATAATTGCGAGGAATATATGGAAAGTTGTTTCAACGCAACGGGCTCTGAAAATTATAGAGTTCTTTCACATGGAGATTGTTGGAATAATAATATGATGTTTAAATATCAGGTATGATTTAATTTAATTTGTGAGGATATTACTTTAACTATTGAAGTAAAACGTTTGAAATATTTTTTAGAAACGGTTTTTACAATTCAACAATAACAATAATAAAAAGGATTTCAATTCAAATGGTTGATATTTGTAATTTATTTATTTGAAGTAAATAATCTTTTTCATATTTATATACAACTAGATGACCCGACAGACGTTGTCCTGTACCAATGTCTACAATTATTTAATATAATATACTAATATTTACCGTTTGCCTAAAAATAATAATTATTGTTTTTTAAATTACTCTTCACGCCAAAATGCATATACATTTATAATATGAGCGATGTTAAATGTAGAACTGCTTTAACTAAAATGATGAGTTCAATTCCCATATTAACTATAACATAACACTGGCACGTCATGTTGGATTAAATTAATTTAATTTTATATTATTTAATATATCCAAAATTGCATCTTAAACTTCACCTAATCGATATCGTGAGGGCCGAATTGTATCTTTACTTTTCCATTTGTTGTTACTTTTCCATTGTGAAAAGATTAGTAAAAGATGCAAAGAAATTATATATTGAAAAAAAAAACTATATTGAAAATTTAATATCCGAATCTTGTGTTGGCGCCCCCTAAGGCGTGTGCTCGTGTTTTTCGCATGCATTAAAGGTAGAACTGGCCCTGATTAATACTTAATTTCATATTTTAAGTGAATTAAGTTGTCATATCCTGTTTATATATGTATCAATCAATCTGCCATACATATAATGTATTTTATATTATTTTAATTTCTGGCGCATCTCAGCTGCTTTTTGGCAATAATAATGTAGACACTTCATTTTTCTTATTCATAATCATAAATTCATTATACATATTCTAATATTGTCTAGGTTCATAAGTAAATTGAAATTTTTGGCAGATGATAGTTTTCATTTGTTTTCAATGCAAACAATGACATGTTGTCTTTTTACAACTTTTTCCATTTATTTCTATAATATTGCACATACATCCCGGTACTTTATAATCACGTACATCCTAGAAAATTTCCTTAACAAATTTCAGAAAGATTTATAAAAATCCGCATAATCGTTTAGAAGGAATATAAAGTGAGTGCTTGTAATTTAATATGAACTTTATATAATAGCAATAATGCTCATATTGATTCTACGTTTTAGTTAGAAAACGTTTGTATGAGAATAAGAAAAAGGCTGCTTTTAGGGTTTTCTCGGCAATTATTCGATTTTTTCTCGCCGTAAGAACCATCCTTGGACTTCAACAAACATTTTAAAGAAAAAAAGTGGCCAATTTGGTCCAGGGGTTGTTGAGTTATGCGCTCACCAACACATTTTGCGATTCATTTTTATATATAAAAAGATTTGGATTGAATCTGTGTGGTATTAACTTAAAGTCTATAGTAAAGTTTATAAGTTTATATAGTAAAGTCTATAGTAATATTTAGAGCAGAGCGGGGTTTAAAAGTCAGCGGGTAAAAGGGTCCGCCACCGATATCTCAAAAACGAGTTAGGAAAGTAGAGGGCATAGATGTATAATCAACCATTGCTTTAAATCAAGCAATATCGCTATCAGGAGATAAACGGCAATGTTTGTAAATCCATAGCAAAATGATTTTCCGTTTTTTTTATATAACCTCTATAAATGCTTACAATAAGCGTGTGGGGTAAAATGGACAAACTGAACCTTTAGCCTGGCAAAGATTAAAACTGTAAAAAGTAAATCAAATTCAAAATTCAGAATTTTTGAGAAAATTTTCGACTGTTTATTTAGAAAATAAAGTTATTGCTTATATTATAATAATTATATTGCACGCATTAAATTGTAGCTCTTAAATTTTAAGGATTGGACAGATACAATAAATCTGTTCACCCCACGGCTGTCACATTCTAGGCCGCCTTTGAGGTAAAAAGAGACAGATGACAAAGTTTAGAAAAATAGTGTAATAACACATTTAAACACTTATTTTAAACATATAATTAAAATTTAATTAAAAATTTTACGGGACATAGTTCGATACTTTTTATTTTGACATGTGTTATGCGTTGTGAAGTAGTTTATTTGGTCTATTCTTTCTATAACTTTTTTCGAAAATACTTTTAAACTCATAGTAAACCTATTACAATTCCAAAATTTTTGAACAATGTATTAACAATGTGATTTTTTTACAGGATGGTAAACCCATTGAAATTTGCTTCATCGATTGGCAAATAGCACGATTCGTATCTCCTGTATTGGATTTATTATATTTCTTCTACCTCAGTACAGATGAGGACATGTTAAACAATAAATATGACTTATTTTTAAATGACTACTATACCGAACTCAAAAATTTTGTTCATCTTTTAGGTAGTGATTTAGATAAATTATATCCATATAAAATATTTCAAAATGATCTCAAAAAGTTTGGGCACTTTGGAGTAGTTTTATGTAGTTTTGCCCTAAATTTCATTTTTGCGAATACTGAAACGGCTCCAGATTTTCAAGAGATGACTAATGCATTCGATGGAAATGGATCTTTACAAAACTGTTTAGAATTTAAGGATTTAGCAACAAAAAAACGCTTTCAAAAGATAATGCGAGATGTTATTCAGCATGCAGCAAAAAGAAATTATATTTGAAATTTAAGTAAATTTTTGTTATGGATTTAGGTATCGATCTGTCCATAATTTAGTTCAAATATCTAAGCAAACTTTTGTGAGCTAAAGTCGTGCAATTATATATCATTTATACAAATCAACATTCATTTATCAAATACACAAATTCTAATATAATAGCAATAATGTTGATATATATAAAATTATGAATTGTTCTATAGATAATAGTAGGATTAATTTATAAAATGTAACAATATTGTTAACATAATTCTATGTAAAGATACTCCTGGCGTAATGGTCGAAAAAGAGTGCGCGTAAGGTTCACACGCGATTGAAGTAAAATTTATTTGATACTGTACAAGATGGCATTTAAGTAAAAATAAAAATAAATACATCATATAACAATTTTGAATACTGTTCATTAGTAATATGGTAACACTCGTGATGCACATATTTATTAGTGTCAACCATTATATAGATTTATATAATGATAAATTATAAGTTATATATTTATAATGGCATTAAATATAAATATATAGTATAATATTTAAAAACAATAATGTAATTAAAGTCATACTTCAAATATGACATGATCGGTTTGTCATTGTAATTAGCATTTAGAAATGAACCTTCATTAGAGAAATGAAGTAATTGCTGATTAATAACTTCTATGATATTCGTCCATTCAGTGGATTATGTTAAACAACACATAAACAAATTTTGTTTTCGCAACTTCACTCATCATGTAATAATTGTGAAGAACTTTATGTAATTAAAATTAACATACATTTTATTAAGTGATGGTATTTTTTTTTACTTTTTTGCTGGCGATATAATCTCATTCTTTGAACAAACATTCTGTTTTGCCTAAAAAATATTTTCCATTCCAATAACTTTAAAAAATTATGGAAACTACGAATAATATAGAAATTATTTCAATAAAGTTATATTTCATACACGGCGCAAATTCTGCATTTGTTTTATTATTTTTATTATAATTATTTACAGGAAACAGGGTAAAATATTCTTGTGATTCAGGCATTTTTCATTAAATCAAGATTTGTACTTTGATGTAACTTTGAAATGTTTATTTATCAATGCCGATTTCCTTGTTGATATCGGTACGCATACAACGTTGATGCCGGTACGCATACAATGACAAATCTTTATTTACATACGCGACGACTAATCACAATCGACCTGTATAAAAATGATATCATCGACAGCGAATGACGAATCAATGGCACTCTACTCGTATCTTATCTTATCTGCGTAACACACTTCCGTTGCATTTGTACGGATTCACACCCTAGTTGCGCCTAAAGAAGTTTTACTTCAAGAATCCACAGCAATGTAAAATAAATAAAATACTATCGTCGATATTATATATTTAACGTCATTTATTATTATTTTACATTTATTTTAATGTATTCACAAGAAATTTTTTTGTAATATTTCTTTATTATCAACAATTACATGGCAAATCTTCATTTATCATCAAACTCATGAAAGCGCTTTGATAACAATGACTTAGCATTTCGTAGATAATAATTAAACACTGTGTAAATATAAATTAATTGTCACAATTACTAAGCATATCGTCAACTATATCTATAATCACTGTAATGAATTATATTCCAAGTTTTATACTAGGTACAAAGTTTTGGGTATAAAATAATGACTAATATTTTTTTGATTATCAACTATCATGTTCTGAATATGAGTGCCTTTGTTTAAAACTATCATGTTTCTGAATATGAGTGATGCTTGTTATAAAAGTTATTGCAACTTTATTTGAAGTTATATTATTTTTCTATAAATTATTCTTTTGCATTTTAAGTGTTTGTAAAATTATATCAACTCTAGGGGAGCTAGGGTTTGATTGTAACAGTTTTTGTTTCAAATTAATATATCTTGTGATCTGCTGAGCTAGATTGCAGTATCATTCCGTTAACAAATCAAAAATAATTCTACAACTTTTCTCATTATTTCATGAATGATCATTTTCTAGAAAAAATACGATGTTACCCCCCCCCCCCCAGTGTTTGAGGCTAGTTCAAAGTGTGTTCAGACAAGTAGTAAAGATACAATAACGATAATTTATTTTTCAATTAATTTTTAGAAAAATTGATTTGTTTCTATGTAATTTTTTTCATAAATGCACGCAAATTATAATGAAAATAAATAAAATGTCTCTTATAATACATTTTCATCATAAATCAACGTAAACTGCAACTATTTCATAATATTTATAAAAGACATAGTGTCTCTTTCAAAATAGTTTACATTTGTCAATATCTTACAAACCAAATTTCACCCAGTTTCACTTGAATCTGGATAATCCTTGTCTGTTAAAACTAGCGAAGCTTTGTTTCAACTAACCCCAAGGGTGATTTTTTCACATTACTCATAAAAAAATATTTTAATATCTTTAAAGATTCTATTGAGAAACGTTGTGTATTAATTAGCCTCTAACACTCGTACATATACTTTTTATAATTCAAAACCTCATCATCAATCATAATTCATGATAGGATAAATAGATTAGACCAATGTATGAATGTAGAAATAAAAAAAACGTATAATAATGACTTTTTAATAATATATACTATGTATAAATATTTTGTACGGTCCCTTATACTAGAAATTTCTGCCATAATAAGATATACAAAATGTATTAAATTTGAAAAAAAAAATTGACAAACACTAAAGAAAGTTCTTCAAATAAATTCTTTTAAGAAGCGTAAATAATCAAGGAAACATGTAAATATATGAAAAAAAAATCCGAAAAAAAGTTTCATGAATTTTTCAAGTTGATATAAATATCAATAAAAAAAGTTCATCTTTCAAATAAACATGGACCATTAGATTTATAAAACACTACATTATTTTCGTCAATAAAAAAGAGGTGTCAAACTCGAGGTTAGTTATGTCTCTACAGCTCGGTAGATGTTTAAATAATATAAATGAAGTTAATTTCTACTAATTCTTTTAATTTTGAGGTTTCGATATCGAGATATTATGACAAAACCAAAAAAGTATTTTAAGTGCACGGCATCATGCCTTAAGGCAAATTGCTGAAACTTTCCGTACTGAAAATTAAAAATTTTGAAAGAGCTTTAAGCTAAATACATTTTGACTATTTTGTATTTTTTTAGAAAATCTGACTTGAAAAATTTGATTTTTTTTAAATACTCAATTTTTTTAAGCCAACGCGATACGTAGCTGTTGTACGGCTGGCGCGTAAGCGCCGTGTCGCAACTCTAGGTAACGTTTAAATTCTGGTACGGTACCTATATAAATGTAAACAAAATGTACTAATTATTAAATTTTCCATAATTTATCTCATTGGATCTGCATAACCGCATTTCGTTCTTTCATTTCATCAATACAAGTTTTTTTGAATCATTCAAATCGGAGGATCCATTCTCTTAAAAACTGAATTGCCAGTTTTGGCACTTTTGGGTCCGTATCTTCGAAACGGCTGAACCTGTCTGTGCCAAAAACTATTCGACTTGACTCCCAATCAATAGGAATCGAATCTGAATAATTCAAATCGGTTGATCCGTATTATCGAAATCGTCGACGAAAAATTGTATCCAAACATGCACACATACGTACATCAATTTTTTATAAGGTATGCCAAAATATTCAGAAACCTTTGAAACGTAAAGATACATAAACTTTTTCATTCTCGATTTTTTGCAATAACTATAACTTCACTAAAAATCATACATTTCAAAATGTGGAAAAGCCACATAAAAACAAAAAAGCAGCAAATAATGATCAAAATGAAAGAATTTGATTGACTACTGCGTAAAAAGTCTAAGCTCTCTGTTGAAAATAAGTTGCTGCTATATAAATCAATTATTAAACCAATCTGGACCTGCGGAATTGAGCTCTGGGGATGTGCTTACAAATCTAATATAGCTATAATGCAGAGAACTCAGTCAAAAATTTTGCGTACAATTCTTAATTCTCCGTGGTACGTGACAAATGACCCCATTCACAGCGACCTCAACATGAAAACGGTGCAATTAACGTTCAAAGCATTCAAAGAAAAATACAAACGCAAACTGGACTCATATTCGAACCCATCTATAGTTGACATTACTCAACCTTTGGCATGAGGAGATTGAAACGACAATGGCCTTTAGACTTAGTCTTAGATTAGGTCTAATATAATATCATATTAATTGTAAAACTAAGAAGTTCTCATTGGAGTTCTTCTTAGGCATCGCTCTTAAATATTGTCATTTTAGCTCATAGAAATCTTTATGTATTTCAGATTGCTAAATAAAACTGAGTTTAAAAAAAAATCCAAAATCATTGTTTTCAGATTCATTATTTTTAATATCGATGCTATATTATTCATTAGCCTCCAAAAAAATTAAATCGCCGCTTGTAGAGTAGTATTGTCAGTATCGAATCAAGGAATATCTTATTAGATTGTGTAACGAAATTGAAGGCCATATCATACAGCATACCTACATCATTTATAAATTCTGTCAGTAACGCTCGTGCTATTTTCAAATCAACACATATTCTATCAAGAGCTCGTATCTGATAAAAGAATTGGTTTTAATAGATTAAATCACTTCTTTAATACATAAATACTCATATTAATGATTCGTATAACATAAAAACAAAGTGCATCTTAAAATGTTTATTTTATAAATTACTCTTGAACATGAAATGTAAATAATTGTATACTTGAAGAGACTGGGCAAGAAAAAGAAAATAACAAGTAATGTACAGATAATTCAGAAAATATATACTTTTATTCTTTTTGCAACTTTTGTGAAAACGTTTGAGAACAAAAAATCTGTTAAATAGTACCATTTACCATATATTGCTTACAATTAGTTCCCGTTAAAGTTGAAGTAATTGTGCAAAAACTGAAATGAAAACTTTGGCTCACCTTTACTTATCAGATGTTTCTGAACATTTTGATATATCTTAGAAAAACAGACATATGTCTGTGTGTGTATGTATGTGCGGACATAATTTTTCGTTCACGATTT